CTCAGTGTATAGGGCATGCGCAATGAGCAAACGGGGGGTAAACTTTCGCGATACGCGAGAAAAATATTCCCGTAATTTTCTGAACCGTAAAGCTAGTCAAAAATACCGGGACCATGAATTATTCGTCTACGCGGAGAGAGAATTTTCTCTTGAAATTTATCCTGAAAATCATGGGACAACGTGGCATTTTGAAGAATTTTATGAGAGTTTCTTCAAATTTTACCATATTTTTTTACTAGCAATTAAACTTAGCATACATTTTACTGGTAAAAAAAATGGGGATAAACTTAAGTCTTCTAGGGGGAAAAATATGGCAAACTAAGTAATTACATGAAAAGTAAAAAGTGTATCCACCATTCTGAACAGAGCAATTTAACGTGCATACATTTCACTAGCAAACACCTTTTTACTTTACTAGCACAATGTATGGTGAAATTTTAAAATACTCTCATAAAGTTGGTCAGAACGCCATGTTGCCCCACGATTACATGATTTTCAGGGTAAATTGTGAAAGGAAATTCTCTCCCCGTGTACTTAGTACAGTATTATCATAGTTGGTGATGGAATGGGAATTAGATGTGAGATCTGTTTCTTATAATTAATGCGTTTCATTACATTGTCTATGACATTCGCCATTTGCGCGCGAAAGTACACGGCAGAATTAATTAAATTAGCATAAGTGAAATAATACCAATGTCACAGTGGATTTGTATTTTCATTCTTCGCTGTAATTACTATATAATTACTATAATATGTACACTGCGTGTGTAATTTGTAGATATATTATCCGCGAAGAAAGACTTCTTATAAGTGTATATGAATTATTAATATTAAAATATCTTCTTCAATATCTGAGGCATAAAAAGTACGATGAAAAATTTATTGCAATTTATATGCAATCATCTTTCGTGCATTTACCATTTAATTTGGCAATACGGCGATACTAGCTACCGTTGCCAGCTCTTCAGCAATTCAAATGACTGGGTAATGTAATTCTCATCGAAAATTAATTGTTCCCACCGCGCACAACGAAAACGTGCATGCGTGCACGCACGCGGAAACGAAGTGATCTCAAGGAGGGTTTGCCCAGTGTCGTTCGACCACGTGGTAAAATTCGGCAAAGTGACCATGCGTCGCGACGCGCCCATAAATGGCGCGGGCGGTGGCCGTACAACCAACCCCACCACGGTGTGCGATGGTCGAGACCAACGGGGCTTCTCCAAAAATAGGATGACGACGACGAGGGACGTCCCGACGTCGTCGTCGTCGACGTCGCGACGCTCGTCCCCGTGATGCGGATTTCGACGCGTCGCATCTCGCGCAGTAATCGACTTGAATGCAACAATTGTCCAGCGATACAATCTTTATCATTGCAGAGTTGTTCCGACTGATATCTTTACTTAAAATTCACAAAGCGCCGAAAGGAGAATGCGTCCGCTCTTTCTGCTCGAAGTTAGCTAATGATACGTAGTTGAATAATATGAATGTGAATATTACAATTAATATAATTTTCAATTAGGTTGAATAATCCGACACAACTGGCTACAGGAAACTTCCTTTATTATAACACGTTTCGGCCATGGGTTTTGGCCCTTTTCAAGTGTATTCTGCAGCTTCTAGTTGGCGTATGGCATGTGGTCGAACGCCATTAGGCGTCCCAGTTAGGTATGTCGTTAATTGTTAATTAATCACCGGTGGTTCAATATTCCAAATTTTGCTTAATATAATTTTGAATCTATTGATATTATTTTAATATTGTAAAACTTTTAAGTGTTAATTCTTAATTAATTGCTATTTCGAAAAAGTGTACCTTTACTTCCACGAAATATATGTTTGGTGCTAAAGAGAGTTTACAAAAAGAAAAAGTTGAAAAACCGGAAAAACACAGGAAAAAATCATTAAGTTAAAAATTTTTCTGTTCAGAATGGTGGGTGCACTTTTTTATATTTCATATAATTACTTAGTTTGCCGTATTTTTTTCCCCTAGAAAAATTAAGTCTCTCTTCTAATTGTTGTCCCTACAATATTAATAAAGCATATTATTTTTCGTACCGATAATACCTCGTTCTTGTTTCGATATTTCTTCTCTTTCAAGAATCTGAATCCACTGCCGTTGTTGCTTCAAATACGTGCACGTAGATCAATTTGCGAACTAATCTATTAGCACACCCGCGAAACTTCGCGCTGCGGTAGACATCAAAGGTGTCTGCGCCTACGCGCATCGAACCGATCGCACTTTTGCAAAAATCGCCGCGAGCTAACGCTAATGCACGTGGCGGGATTGGAGGCAAGACTATTTATAATCCAGACACACCGTCCAAGCACACACGGCAGTGCCAGAAATAACAAATCCGAAGTCGTAGGTCACGCGAATAAGACGAATGAGAAGACGACGCCTGTTCCGATAACCGTTGGCCCGATGCGTTTGATTTCGACGTGCATATAAAATGAATAATTAATACGCAATTTATGAAAAGTAAAACAGCAATGCAGTAGAAATAATAATCTATTTCAAAATACTCGACAATTGGTAACACAACAGCGGCATCAATTTAGTCCTTAGACAAAAATCCGGACCATTTCTTTAAAAGAAGTTTATTTTCTTTTCTCTTTATTAGATGACTAATTAATAATTTTAATCTCTTATATTTTGTTGATTTGCAGTATTGTTACTTGAAAAGAACCTGAAGGTCAAGACGTTGTGACGAATCCAATAAAATTTGCCAGTTGGGTTGACGATAAGCTCACTGTTTTAATTTTTTAAAAATGTTAGAAAAATGATCCCATTTCAAGTACGTTTTTGATCACGCGAGGTACATGAGAATGTGACTTTTTACTCGTAACATCGGGTCAAGAAAATTATTATATTTTCACAAGTTATCTTAATCGAAATAAGTGTATTGAAAGAACTAAGAAATAAATCGGTTCTTGAAAAAGAGATTTCCTAAAGATCGCGTCTCCCTTTTGGGACAAGATACCTCCCATTTCTGTGGAATATCATCGACTGACGCGTACTCTACACGCCGAATAAAGAATTTTAACGAACCTCTCAATTTACGTAACCTTGAACATCATTTTTTAATTAATCTAATTTCGCGGAACAATTTCCCGATCGATCGAACACGACGCTGCAAGGAGAAAGAGAGCTTCGGCATAATTGATTTGTGTGGGAGGAGACGGCACTGTTTTCGCTCGCACTGAAAAAATATAGCACCGGAAGAGGCTGGGCGGCCAAGAAAGTTCCCGCTGTCTGTCCGGTCTGCGCGCAGGGCAATTGTGATGTCGACCAATTAAGCCACGGCCCACGCCTGATTTTTCTTTTCACGCTGGTCCAGCCTCTTCCACATCGATAACATCTTCGTCATCCCACCCCCGAATCATCCGGGGTTTCGCGCCGCTGTTGCGTGTAGTTGGCGGTTTTATCGCGCGCGTAAACGTACATAGGCGCGTTGCGAATGCGCCGTGCGAGCAACAAACAGTTCAGATGGTCCACAACTCAACGTGGTATCGGCTGAAATTTCACCCACAATCCATGCCAACGCAGTGCTCCGCGTTGCGTGAGTCACGCTCGTCAAATCGCGAGATAAAAAGGAACACACGCACGCGTGTATCGTGTATACCAGATGCATTTCAGAGATCAATCATAGTCTGCACGTCACTACCAGACGGTGTATTCTTGCCGGGTTACATTTCCTTTTTCTGAGAACACCTGGATCGAGCGTCCAAGAAAGATCGTTGCCTTCTGTTTGTCTCGTTTATTTTACCTATTTAACTTCACGATAAACATTTTAATCGTGTGAGGATAAGAAGAGTCTTGGAGCCCCCACGTATGTCTGGGAGTCTCGCCGCGTTCGTTCGACGCATCTTCCGCGAACGACAGTCGTCTCGGGTCATCCATCAAGTAATTACACCGGCATTATCTATTAGCCACGGTTGTTAAGCCTACGACAATGACCCTTCTTTTCCAATCGCACAGCTTGTCTAGCGTAGCCGATGGGATATCGGAAACCGGCGAAATACCGCAACAACTCCTGATTGTGCATCGCGACTTGCTGTGCCATTTAAATCCTCGTAAAAAACAAAAACGTTAAAAATAATTTAGAGTAGACGAGGGAGCGGCGATATTTTTTATATCTAATAATTGGCCGAGCATCTAACCTGAAACTTTTGCGGATTCTCTCTTCCGAGGGCGTTTACAGTGCCATAAAATAGCTTCTTGCGAAGCAATGCCGATTATTGTATTCGTATGGACGAAAAGTAAATGAAAATTTCCGATGATACGCGGGGCTCTGTTAAAATTACCGTTGCTCCTTACGTTCGTACAGCTTCGCGCAGAGGCCGGCTTAATGTAAAAAAAACGCCCTCTGACACGTATTAAACAGCCGTTACGCAAAGCATAAAAAACGTTCGAGAGCCGTTATTTTTTTGCTCCATTCTTACGTCGCTGCGAAACCAGTTTCGTTTATCAGAGATGCAAACTTACCACATGGCCTGAACGGACACCGGCTTGAAGATGTGCTGACGGCCGCAAACGCTGACCTTGAAACCCCTGAAAGATAAAAAAGAATCCGGAAGTGAGATCGCGGTGACCTTTAGGAACCACGGTGAGTCGAATAACGTTTATTCAGTAATTTTTTTACGTTATAAGTAACGTAATACTTTTTATGTTGAAAAATTATTTTATCCGTGACAGAAGATCGCCTGTTCTAAGACGTGTGAATTATTTAACTTGTGAAAAGTGAAATATAAAGCGTAAAACAATAGAATCGCATAGCACTTATGCCTTCGAGCAATAATAAAGTCCATTCAAAGAATGTTAAAGCATGAGACACAGTTATCGTATATCTTCAGTAAAATAGGATTACGTGATCCGCTAAATCCATTGTGACAAAATTAATGAAGATATTCTTTTGTTCCTATTGCGACTTGCTGTGCTATTTAAATCCTCACGCAAAAAAACCGTTAACAATAATTTAGGGTAGACGAGAGAGCAGCATATCTTTTTATATCTAATAACTGGCCGAGTATTTAACTTGAAACTTTTGTGGATTCTCACTGTCGAAAGCATTTACAGAGCCATAAAATAGCGGAAAAAATTTTAACTTGTAAAACGCATTCGTTTAAATTGCTCAATGCTTTTATCTCCGAGAATCTCTGGAATATATTAATTATCTCGAGTAAATTTTTCATATGTTACAAATTGTCGTTTTCCCTATGCATGGAAGAAAACGTTTTTATCAAAGCGGCTACAAAATACTAAATTTTTTCCTATTTTTCATAAAAATTATACTGTACAGATGTGCAGATTGGCTTCACAGAGAAAAAGGTTTCTTTGGATTTAGTATTCCTATTCATTTGATCGAGATTGGTTTCATTGAAACAACATATGCTTATACAAAACATTATTTGTTTGAATAAAAATTTAGTTGTTTCATTCAAACAATCTCTATTATTTGATAGAAAAGACACTATTATTTCAATTAAATAATTATATTATTTGGCCGCCGAACTCGTAAGTGAAATCACGGTAAGCGACCGCATCAGCAGACGCAGTCTAATCAACTAATGATCTATTCTTTATAGCTGAACATAGTGTACTAATTCAGTGTTTATCTTTCTTCTTCTAATAAAGAAAAAATTATAATGTGGAGGGAAAAAGATGTATATATGTACATTTTTTCACATATTTTCTATCAAACGATAATGTTGTTTGAAACAATAACACCGTTTACATTAAAGAGAATATACCTTTCGTTTCAAACAAATATTAATATATTTCAAATTCAAACAAATGATTTGTTGGTCCAAATATCAAATTTGTTCGGACACAATAAAATGTATTAAGTCCAAAGAAATCGTTTTCACCGTGTACGTTGCCAGTAACAAAAAGAATGGATTCGGGCATTGTAAGGGCACTTTGGAGTTTCTTCGCAAAGGCCTCAATATACAAAATTGAGCTTTTCGAAAACGCTTCTATAATGACTCCAGCGTGACTTTTATCACTTTTCGTCGGAGAACTAACATTCTGCGTCGCGATGTCGCAAAGTAGCTCGACTCGGTGCTGCACGAGTGATATCGATCTAACGGGGTGGGCGCACAAACTCGCGATTTTGCCATTCGAGCCGGGCGATCGTTACGCCGGCGAGCGGAGCGACGGCGCTTCAAAACTGCAACGGTAACGCAATTCTCGCGATTACGACACGAGAAGGGGCGCGCGTTCACCGCGCCGCCGTAATTAATTACGCATTATGTAAAGGAGATCGCGCCGCGGGAGTATCGCGAATCGTTGCCGTAATACGCGCCGGCTGCATTTCCGGGAAATCGTTGTCGATTCCGCGATCGTCTTTTCCAGAAAGGAACGGTACTCACGTCAAACTTCGTTACACATACGCGGCACGGCCGTGCTATCCGAGGCATGTCGCTTTCCCCTCATCCGCAAATATTAGAGGCGAAATCAGATTTAATTAGCGCGCTTTGACTCGCACGCAGGCACGTACAATCGTCGATCGATCGACGACTTTTTTATCCGCGGACGGTAAAAAAGGGTAATGGGTTTTCGAGCAAGAACAAGAGGCCTTATTTTACATCTATTGTTAGGCACGCGAGAACCACGACGGTGTAATTGGAGCGATAAAAATTGGTTCGCAAAAATTTCACTTTTTGTGAGCGACATATGAAACTTCTATCTCAGCAGGTCGGCTAACGTTGCTCTCTCACAACCGAGGGGGAAACCGCTGAAAAATATTGTACACTAATGCCCAGTGGGCATTACTTTATCTTATTATCTTATTTTATCTTATTTTATCTTATTTTATCTTTACATTGCCCCAGCAAGGCCTAATGCCAAAAAAAAGCCTAGCAATGCCTAGTAATGCCCAGTATTGCCGCAAATCTGTTACACCACAATGCCATCAGCGGTTTCCCCCTCGCTCACAACTGATACGTATCGCTCTTAAAATTTACGGCAGCTACACTGGCGGAAACAGTTGTCCTTACGTAGCCGCGTAATAAAGCGTGATATCGAAATTCGTGCCTTACGCAACCGACGTACTCGCGACAGGTTCCAGTTACGCGGACGGACGAACGAAGGAGAAAAAAATTATGTCGAGCATCGCCGCGAGCGGTGCACCGAAACGCAATCGCGAGTCGGTTGCGCAAACGTTGCCCCGCGGCTCGGAATTTTTGGGCGTGCTGCACGTAACAATGTCGACGGAGATCTCTCACCCTCGCGAAGGAATACAAAAACGGACGGGGTAAAAAAAATGCAATTCTCCCCCCCCTCCCCCCGCCCCGTCCGACCGCGAAATTACTCGGCGCGCACCGTTATCGTTCGGATCGTAAAGCGGACGCCCTCCTTCCTCCGCTTTCGGATCGTAATTCGCCTCTCTCGCCGATTACAGTTACCCTCTCTATGCAGATTCCACGAGCGGATTTTACGGCTGGCCCTTCTCGCCTCTTCGAGGCAGCACGCGTCGGCGTACGAGAAACTTGCGCACCGCGCAAATGCCAGTTAGAGGCGAGGACTTTCTTCAGTTTATTATATTATCGGATTTCAACACGCGCAGAGCCGTCGTATTCCGCCTTTCGTAATATTTTAGTAATAACCACAACTCAGAAATTCTTGAGTTATAAGTAGGAAGAGATTTACTTGGATACACCGCGCGCGGTGTGTTGAACTTATAGCGAGTTCGGTTGCTTGCACTAGCGCGCACCGAGGGGATCCTAAAGCCGTCTGTTTTATCGACATTCTTGGTTAGAAGTAATCTTTTAATTGGCTTTATAGAAATGCAAAACTCTTTTACGGAATTAAAGTACGCAGCGAAATCTAGACTATGCTGGTCGACTTTATATAAAAAACGAAAAAAATTTTAATTTGACTAATTTTTGGTACACTTGACGACCATATTTGCTTGATATAAGAATTCTACAATAAATATATACAAAATGAGACCAGCATACTCTAAGGACAACATGTAAGAACAATATCGTGCAATTAGAACTAAAATTAATAGCCTGGAAAAAAAATATTACTTCTAATAAACGCAAGTTCAGAAATCCAAGTCTAGAAGAAGAGAAAAGAGCAGCAGGCTTTTTCGAGAGAGCTCGCCGCCAAACATTTGTCAGATTGTCAGTAAAGCAATAGTCTTGACGATGCTAGGAATTCGATCCAAAAGCTCGGTCTGAGCAATGTGTAGCTAATAAATAAAATTGCTGCTTTTTCGGAAAAGTTGCAAATTGGCTACAAATTTCTCGGACCGAATTCACCGAAAACCCCGGTCTGAAGTGACATCTAAAGTAGAACTTGTAATTAGAAATATCGATAATTGACGTTTTTAATTCCTTCTCCTATCTTGTCGGCACTGATCGAGTTCGCCAGCGGCTTTAGGATCCCCTTAAGTATCTCTTGAAATATTTCTTAGCCTGTAAAATGATCTGTATAGCACCTATACGGATCATTTTTTGGCTAAATACTCTTTGAATATGTATTTAAGACAAAGTTAAATATAAGAATTGTATAAACAATGTGTGCACTCAGTGCGCACTAGTGCAACCGAATTCGCTCTTAGTAAATATGAAGCCTTGCGAAATGTTGGAGCTGTAAGACTAATCCGTACGTTTTATGTTAGGGAATAAGAGCGAAGAGGAAACAGTCCCTCTTGCACCGTTCGATTGTGTTACGCGAACGCGCGGAATTTTTGGAAGACAACGATTTGCTTGGCGATCATCAAGCAAATCTCGGGCTGTTACTCTGGTTTTACACGTAAATTAAGCTTGCCAATATCTGCGTTACGCAGAATGAACTCGATCTTTCGCAACGTTCGTTAGTTCCTTCAATTTGCTATCCGGCGCATGTAATCAGTCGGTTGCACTTTACACGTGTATCAATAAGACACGTCGATATCATAAGACCGATGAAGCGTAACCGTTACGGCATTGAACGTGTCAAATAAATTCTCTGGTTGCATTACGCGCGTTAAGTAATATAGTTAAGACTACTATAATCTATCCGGAAAGAGACAGTGAGAGAGTTCGCCAACTCGGGGCTAAGTAAGCCGGACCGTTGCTGCAACCGGCCGCAACAGTGTTTCAAATCGACCGATCGAGAAAGCGAATGACGTATTGCGACTCTAACGCGCGGAGAGACTGCGACTCTCTCGCGAGTTCGCGACAGCCGAGTCGAAACGAGAAAGAGAGAGAGAGAGAGAGAGAGGTGGGGGAGAGGAAAGGAGGAGAGGAGAAGAGAAAGATGAAGAAGAGAGACGACCGTCCGCGCCCCGAGGGTCATCGACATCGTAGGAACGCGAGCTGACCGGCGTTCGCGCTCATTTTCTTTTCCCGGTCCTTTTCTTTCTCCTTTTCCCTTCGCCACGCACCGAGTTGTCCATCCGTCCCACCGTCCTTTTATCGCTAATTTCGCGACAATTGCTCGACCGACCGAACACGAACGTCGCCCAGTCAATGTGCTCTCGCGTGGATAAGCTTCTTGCCCACGGCCACGGAAAATGACGAAGTGCCCTCTAATCGTGCGAAAAGCCACGTGTCAATATC